ACCTGCAATAGTCTGACTTGTTATAGTTCAGATGGAAGGCTTGCCACCAGGGCAGGACCTGCAATAGTCTGACCCCTTATGGTACAGATGGAAGGCTTGCCATCAGGTCAGGATCTGCACTCCTCTGACTCGTTATAGTACAGATGGAAGGCTTGCCATCAGGGCAGGACCTGCAATAGTCTGACTCGTTATAGTACAGATGGAAGGCTTGCCATCAGGGCAGGACCAGCAATAGTCTGACTCGTTATAGTACAGATGGAAGGCTTGCCATCAGGGCAGGACCAGCAATAGTCTGACTCGTTATAGTACAGATGGAAGGCTTGCCATCAGGGCAGGACCTGCAATAGTCTGACTCGTTATAGTACAGATGGAAGGCTTGCCATCAGGGCAGGACCTGTAATAGTCTGACCCCTTATAGTACAGATGGAAGGCTTGCTGACCAGGCCAGGACCTGAAATACTTTTCCATTCACATGTGAAACTTCACAGGATTTACATTCTGGTGAGGCTGGGCCTTAAGCTGAGAGAGTGCTCCTTCATTGTGATGTATGCTATAAGGTTCACGCCAGTCACAGACTTGAGTTGCTGCTGATCAATTTGTTCTTCAAAGGGGTGTTCGTGTGAAATCAGAGCAAACTGTGCATTTCAGTGTTTCAATTCTTTTGAAGGTTAAAGTTATTTGATCTGTCATGCAATGTTGGAATGACTCACAACAGAAAGCTGCAAAACTGAGTTCACTTTGCCCTTGGTGATGAGGAAGTAAATCTAGAGATTGTGAGGTGAATTCTGGTGTAAATCTGCATTGCTGAAATGGTTCCAAGCTACTGACTCATGGCCATACAGGCCCTGATACAAATATATACAAATATATCCACTACAGCCCATACAAATCTTTATTAGCTGGCAAATCAAAATTACTGCAATTTCAGACTGAAATATAGAGAGTCTCAGCACTCATTGTTTTTAATACTGAGATGATTAGATAAATCCTATGCATGTTATATATGGGATTACACTTTTTCAGTAAAGTACAGATTCTAGCACTTTTTGTTGGGTTGAGTTGGTCATCTAACACTCTCAGTCGCATTCGCCCGGAAAAAATAGAAGTCATAAAAAAAGTTCATAGTCAAAAAATAAAATATATTAAAAAGTAGCCCTGAGACTTTCTTCATTTTCAGTAGCTGTGGAAATCTAGGCTTGCCACATTTTCTAGACTTGCATAGGCTTTCTTGGGTATACTTGCTTCAGGGTGTGTATGACAGACTATGACTCAATGTAATTGTTGTGCAGTTAAGCAGGGTGAGCTCTATCAGCCATTGTAAAAGCTGTTGTACGTTGGTCGTCCTATAGCATTAATATTTTAACTATATGAAGCAAGTTTTCTATGTCTGTTTAAACATTATTCACTGAAAACACTGCTTGAGAATTCAAGACATTTATAAAGTAAAGGTATATCTTTTATGTAGTTACTTAGTGAAACCACAAAGGATTCCAAACCAATTTAGATACAGGATTATCAAGTAGCTTCTGTCTATCTGCCATTTGAGGAATTGTCACATTTACATACAGACCACATTTAGGCTTGTACTCAATGAAGGGAGGATACTAGTTACATGATCAAAGGATTCATCCCATTTCCACTGAATGATGAATATAAGAATCCAGGTTTGATGTTGACTTCAAGCCTGTATGTCTTCATCCAGAGCTGGGGCGATGGGGTAGCCTAGTGGTTAAAGCGTTTGCTCGTCATGCTGAAGACCTGGGTTAGATTCCCCACCTGGGTACAATGTGTGAAGCCCATTTCTGGTGTCACCCACGATATTGCTGGAATATTGCTAAAAGCGGTGTAGAACTAGACTTGCTCATCCAGAGCTGCATGACATTCTGGTCTCTAAACAGACAAGAGCTCTGGTACTGGACAAACAATGTATGTGGCCTGTAGCATTTGATAAGAGGAAGACATCACTTAAACATTACTTTCGTAGGTCAGGCAAAGTTCATCAGCTGATTTTTCTCAACTACTGTGGCAACTTGTGTCTGGCATTAAATGTCAAGTGTTTGATTTGAGATGGTTTCAGTTCTCATTATGATTGTTGTCCATTTACAGTAAAGTTCACACCGGAGATGAAATGTCTTCAAAGACTGATGAAAGCTTCTTCATAGCTGATGGATACCTCATTGAGGCCTTGTCTCATTAGTGTCTGGGGTTTACCATTTTTCAACACCTTAATTAGCTTATTTGGTGTAAGATGTCATTGTCAATTCAGTTGATGTCGATGTTTGTGAAGCTGTTATGAGTAAAGGCTGGTAGGTTTCAAAGTAGTAGGTGTGGTAAATATTTCGCTTATCTTTTCAATAGGGAACCTGCTATATTGATCGATACTCGGTGTCGTTGTGTAACTCACAGTAGACTAAACCTTATGTACATAGTAACCACTAAATTTGTTCAGTCACATTAATTATGTCTGCCATGAAAAGTCTCTAATGTTAATGAAATCACATTTATCACTGTATATGGACACGTTTGTGATTAAGGTACGTCCACAATTATTCTGGTCTTTGTGCTGCTGGTAGTAATGAATACTAACTAAAGGACCTGATTAAATGAACACATGCCCAAGGTGAAGTAAGTTAAAGTAACCATTCAGGCATTTCTGTGCCCAGTGAAGATCCGGGTAGGGATCGGTCCTAAGCAATCCATGCTTGTATGAGACGATTAATGGGGTTGGGGGGCCAGTTGTTTGATAAAGGTAATAAAACCTGTGATAAAATGTTACACTCAAGAAGAAAAGAAACTTTTAAAAGTGCATTTGTTTATCAAGATTCTTCTTCTGTCACTATCAATCTTGAGCTGAACTTCTAAACAGACCTTTTCATGTTTTTAAGTTTGGGGAGGCTGAGACTTCTGTAAGAATCAGAATATGTTTTCAGTCTGTCCTTTGTGGAGTTTTTTTGTTGTTGTTGATGACGTGAAAAAGACCACATGATGTAAATTACAATGGAAAGAACATTATATTACCCCAAAGGTGTTTACTGTACTGGGTAGAAGTGATGATCATCATCAACGACAATCAGTTTTCACCAGTGAAGAGGACCGCCTCCGTGGCGTAGTGGTTAGAGCGTCTGCCCAGAGAGCGGAAGGTCGCGGATTCGATCCCCGACCGGAGTCAGTATAATGTGTCTGAGTGGGGTATTCATGCTTCACTGCGGCATGGTATCGCAGTGGGCTAGCACTATAAAACCAGCTTCAGTCTGGGCTAGTACAAGCAGCCGCACCTACACATACACACGCATGCACGTTGTCAAATGAGTGAAATATTCTCCAGCGCGACGTTAAACTCAATTTCACCTCACCTCACCAGTGAAGACCTTTAACCACCCTGCAACATGGTTGCTGTTGCATAACTGGATGTTGTGATGGGGGAACAAGATGGCTGCTGTCATCTGTTCAGTTTGATTTATGGGTAACCTCTGGTTGACCAGACTGTCTAACACCAAATAATGAATGGCCTTGGATGATTACAGGAATGACTATCATGAATTAAAGGGACTTTTCCAAGTTTTGTTAATCTGGGTATTACCGGTAGTTAATGCAGCCAATTCAGGCATGGTCCTATCTGGATTATCAGGGTTCCACTATTCGTGATTATTTCATGGCAGCTATGCAGCATATTCATCGTTGCAAGCAGGGTTGTATTTTCATTTGAACCCATGATGCCTTGGACTTCTCAGTTGGAACCATCTGGTCCAATATATCAACTATGTTACTATATTCCATATTTTGCATGTTTCTTCCACTGCATCAATAACTCTGTGCATAAGTGAGTGAGTGAGTTAATATTTAACGTCACATCGGCAATATCTAAGCCATATCGTGACGACTGTGCATAAGAGTAATGACAATGCCTGATAACATATCCACGCACTTCTGACTGACGATAACACAATGTGATTCTGATTATGGTACCAATTAAGACCTGGCATGGTTGTATGTTGAACATGAAACCAGACCCATCCATACCAGTCTGTCATTTTATCTCAGTGAAATGTATACACTTGTACACACAAACACAAAAGCTTTATGCTTCAATCTGAGACAAAGGAAGGTTGTGTTGGGCTAAGTGCTTACTCATGTTTGCAATACAATACTGACATCAGAATACAACATAATACTGAAAACATCTGATTTAAAGTAAGAATTTTAGCATGAAAGTTTTGGAATACATAAGAGATTGTTTGCCATTTGTTGAACAGATATTGAAATTTGTGGTACCAATATGTTGTTGTTTCACTGACATCCATAACCAAAATGTTATTGCAGAAATATTTTATGTAATGACGTGCTTCTGCAAGATACTCAGTTTAAACCCTCCTTGTAATTTTCAGTTTCATTAAGATAGTTTCCTGAAAGTTGGTGACCTTTAAAATGAACAGTTTCAATAAAATCTGGATTGTAATGTAATTAATTTCAAATTGTTCAACAGATAAGCTTAAGGCATATAAATATGTGATGCTGATTGCTGAACCAACACTAATATAACATATTAGGTATTCTGATATTCTGACTTTGACAAAACAGACCTTGTTTCATGATAAATTATTAGTCTGTATTGGTTATCAAGGACAGATCATATCTACAGTAGAGAACTTGCACATCAGTGTTATGGTAGTATATGTGTTACATACATTTGGTATAAAGTTCAGGGGCGGTGGGGTAACCTAGTGGTTAAAGCGTTCGCTTGAACTGCTAAACCTCTGGGTTCGATTCCCCACATGGGCACAATGTGTGAATTTCTGATGTCCCCTGCCTTGATATTGCTGGAATATTTCTAAAAGCGGCATAAAACTAGACTCACTTACTCACACTATAAAGGTCAATGTAATGCCTCAGCATATGGCATGCCACATTCATGCTTAAAGTGACACTTCAAAGTGTTCAGGTTTAGATATTTTAAAATCCCATCAGCTGAAAAATAAATTTTGCTTTTTTTGCTTTTTCAGAGAATTATTTTCTACCTCCTATGTTGAAAAGAGATACCATTCCACAGGCAGCAGTATTCACACGCCTCACCCTCTCACACAGGTAAGGACAAAACATTAGATTTGACTCTTGTTTAATGTATCCTCTTACCCATGAAGATCAGTGTTAGAATTGGTCTTCAGTAACCCATGCTTGTCGTAAGAGGTAACTAATGGGATCGGGTAGTTAGGCTTGCTGACTCGATAGACACATGTCATCGCATCCCAGAAGATCGATGCTCATGCTGTTGATCACTGGATTGTCTGGTCCAGACTCAATTATTTACAGACCACTGCCATATAGCTGGAATATTGCGGAGTGCAGCGTTAAACAACAAACCAACAAATCAACTAATGTATTCTCTAAAGGTGTACTGTCTACATGCGACCACCTCCGTGGTGTAGTGGTTAGAGCGTCCACCTGGAGAGCGGAAGTTCGCGGGTTCGATCCCCGACCGTGTCATACCAAAAGACGTTAAAATATGGTACTTGTTGGTCCCTGCCCTGCCTGGCTGAGTATGCCGCCAATTAAACTGGGATAACAACTTTTTTATTTGTGCACTCCGCGAATAAAAAGAAGTTGTTATCCATAAAGTCAATTCTATATTGTACTTCTTTTAGATGGGGTATTCATGCTTCACTGCGGCATGGTATCTCAGTGAGCTAGCACTATAAAACCAGCTTCAGTCTGGGCTAGTACAAACAGCCGCACCTACACATACACACGCATGCACGTCATCATGTGAGTGAAATATTCTCCAAGCACCCATGTTCACCTCCAATTTCACTCTCACACCTCACCTCACTGTCACCTCACCTCACTGTCTACATGCACACTATGGGACATAACAAAGGATAATTAATCCACATATTTTTAAGACAGGTGATACTGTCTAGATTAACAAGGGTTCACTGAATGCAAACCTTATGAAAACAGGTTTGAAAACCCTCAATTCCCTCCGATACAGGGTAAAACGGATACTCAAGTGTAACCCTCTATTACTGTCTACAGTGTTAGACAACAGACAGATCCAGGGATGGTTTCTACAAATACTTTGCTATGTTTTGAACATTTATGCTTTGGAAATGTTTCTTTTTTTTTATATCGAAGACAAGTATGATTAAATGTAAAGTTATTAGGATTGCATCATCTTTTCTTGCTAAGAATAAATCCAATTCTATTTTACAAATTTCTATTTTTCAGTGCTTTACATTAACTCGTAACGCCTTTAAGTGGCATTTTAAAAGTTGGAAAGTACAATATTCCTGCTTGAAGAGATAAGAGAAGTTGTTATCCATAAAGTTTGTCAGTATCGACTTCAACTGTTAGTTTCAAGCCTGAGTCTAGTAAAATTCTGTTTGGTCATGTAAGCTCAGCTTAAGTCCACAAAATAACACTGGATTTTTCTGGAAGTGATGGCAAGTAGTCTCAGATTGATTTTTTTCATTGAAATGTTAATCCAAATTTTGGATGTATTTTCAGAGGCAAAAACATTGTTATTACCATGGAACAGTTCGGTACTCACCCGACTCCCTGGTGGCCTTGAGTACCTGTGATGGAATCAGGTGAGTACGTTTTGTCAGGTGGAATTCCACAGTTGAACACTTTAGCCCAGCATTGTATTATATGTATCAGTTCGCACTTTGACAGTTGAATTGTCTCACCCAACACTACTTTTTATGGTTAGGCCACACCAATTTTATTTCTTGAATTACAGATCTGCCAGTTGTATTGAATTTTAAAAAATGCCCCAGAAAATACAATTCTAATGTTTTATTGGACAAAAATGTAAACTTACATTTTTAGTATTTAAACAGGAATGTTACTTTGACTGGTGATTTTTTAATTTTTTTCCTCCTGCCTTTAGCTTTTCTGAGGACAAAAATCTGTAAAACAAGAAATATAATTTGTCTGGCCATAACAGATATTTACCTGACCAGTTAGTATGGGTAAATCGAAATAAATGTGGGTCAATCAAAATAAAGATAATAAATTTGTGTAGCCAAGTAGTGCATTATTTATCTGGCTTTGAATTATTTAGAAGACAAATATACTAGGCAACACTGTTTTTTTATCATGATGAGAAGATATTTTCTTGACCAATCCGTGTGGGTCGATCAAACTATAGATAATAAATTTGTGTAGCTGGAAAAATATAAATAGTAGTGTTTTATTTATCTGGCTTTAAATTATTCAGTGGAGAAAATTGATATGCAATTTAAAATGCAGGATATGAAGTGTATGTTTGCTTTTAAACAATGCATTCATTTCAATAAATTATTGCTTTCAGCGTTATCAGTTGTTAGAACTTTACCAGATTTCTGTTCTAATTTTTTAGTACTTAAAAAATATAGGGGTCAACCAAATAAATGGAAAGTACATGTATTTCTGAGTATATATGTAAGTCAAGAAGAAATGTTCATAGATGTTTAGGATCTTGTGAATGTCTGGTTTTCTTTAACATCAATAAGGGTCATGAAGTAAATTGGCAGAGTTAGATCCTATGAGACGTCGATTGACTGTGTGATGTTATTAACCCAATTTCCTGCTTATCACTTGGTTCAGTTGATCAGTGGTTTGAGAATAATGGTTGGCGGTGGGGTGGGAATACGCAAATTTGATTGTGTCCACATCAGCTCCTTGCCAGAACTATCAATATAATACAGTTAACTGAATGAATAAATGGACATGAATCCTTTGATCTCACACCATTGGAACCATAGAGGTAGGACACTAGCCTCTGAGTTGTGTCTTTTAACAAATACTTATGAACATATTATTGTAAACATACTTCTCACACTGACTGTGAATATTTATGTGGGCTTAATAATATGGGGTGAATTTCTTTGTCATATACTGTAGATTGTGAATATGTGGTCTTGACTTACCCAAGATGAAATCCTTGAGGTCTGTGTTGGGCTGTGATAGGGACAAGAAGCCTGAAAGAGTTACCTCCCTTGATCCTTGGTGTATTCTCACTAAAGAAGTTTCCAGTAACGTTTTGTATTGTATTGCTCTGTTTTGTGTGTACAATTTGTATTATTTTGAACTGTATGTACTGTCCTCCTTTATAAATTGATAATTTTTATGACATTTTTCCGTTGGCTTTCATTCATGTTCCTTTTTGAGCAGACATGAAACCAATGGAAATGAAAGGATAGAAAGAGTTAGTTCCCTTACCAGACGCCACACAATCTCCATGTCATTTTTTCTTATAAATTATGCATATTTTTGTTCAAAAAAATATCAGATAATAGACCACATTTGTAATCACAACCATATGAAGCTTTAGTTTGGTTTACTGCTAAGAATTTGCTTTTTTGTAGTGAGGTATCTAAGCTTTGCTTTTCATATGTAAATCTTGTTTACTGTAAGTTGAAACTACAGTCTTTTAAGTTAGCAGGATATGACACCCAAGTGAATTCGTGCCTTAAACTAATGAGTAAGGAAAATAACGAGCTTGGGTGATGCCAGGCTCCTAGGCCGAGTCCTAGAGGAATTTGTGATGGGGCAGAGGTCACCCCCAGGTGACCTACCTACTTTGTGGGATGCCTGGGTTGATGTGATCTGCCCTCCTAACCTTAAAAACCAATATCAGACTAAATAAACTGGCAAATTTATCAAATATAAATAATTTTGTTAATCTGCAGGACACTTGGTATTTGCATATATCAGGAAAAAAGATTCCGTAGAAACTTTATCTGATTGTAAAAGGCAGCAAATTGAATAGTGTGGTCACTTGCACAGTGAACTGGGTGTCTGAGTCTCACCAAAACTACATTGTTGCTGTTAATATGAATCACTGGAATGTCTGGTCCTGACATCAGTATTTACAGTCCAATTTGATATACCTGGATTATTGTTGGGAGCAGGGTTTACAGAAGAAAATAACAAAAAACATCAGCATCATCCTTGTATTTTGCTTGAATATAAGGGATGGTGGGGTAGCCTAGTGGTTTAAGCGTTCGCTCGTCACACCGAAGACCTGGGTCGCGATTCCCACATGGGCACAATGTGTGAAATTACATTTCAGGTGTCCCCTGCCATGATATTGCTGGAATATTGCTAAAAGCGCGCGCTAAACATACTCTCTCATTCACTCACTTGAATATAACGCAAAACCATGTGATGTTAATATGTCTTTCTTTACCAACACAATTCTTCTGTATCTTAACTTGGAATGAAATGTTGATCACAATGACAATTGAGGAGTACAGATGTCAAATTGGTGCCCTTTGTATATACAGAAGTATCTGTGAAATATGTTAGGATACTTATTTGTGAAAGATGTTAATAGGGTAAACTGCATTTGAAAGTGAAGAACAAGAACTATACACTTTTGTTGAAATTGTATGCAGTTGTGCCTTAAACTAATGAGTAAGGAAAATAACGAGCTTGGGTGATGCCAGGCTCCTAGGCCGAGTCCTAGAGGAATTTGTGATGGGGCACAGGTCACCCCCAGGTGACCTACCTACTTTGTGGGATGCCTGGGTTGATGTGATCTGCCCTCCTAACCTTAAAAACCAATATCAGACTAAATAAACTGGCAAATTTATCAAATATAAATAATTTTGTTAATCTGCAGGACACTTGGTATTTGCATATATCAGGAAAAAAGATTCCGTAGAAACTTTATCTGATTGGAAAAGGCAGCAAATTGAATAGTGTGGTCACTTGCACAGTGAACTGGGTGTCTGAGTCTCACCGAAACTACATTGTTGCTATTAATATAAATCACTGGAATGTCTGGTCCTGACATCAGTATTTACAGTCCAATTTGATATACCTGGATTATTGTTGGGAGCAGGGTTTACGAAGAAAATAACAAAAAACATCCGCAGCATCCTTGTCTTTCGCTTGAATATAAGGGATGGTGGGGTAGCCTAGTGGTTTAAGCGTTCGCTCGTCACACAAAGACCTGGGTGCGATTCCCACATGGGCACAATGTGTGAAGCCCATTTCAGGTGTCCCCTGCCATGATATTGCTGGAATATTGCTAAAAGCGGCGTAAAAACATACTCTCTCACTCACTCACTTGAATATAACGCAAAACCATGTGATGTTAATATGTCTTTCTTTACCAACACAATTCTTCTGTATCTTAACTTGGAATGAAATGTTGATCACAATGACAATTGAGGAGTACAGATGTCAAATTGGTGCCCTTTGTATATACAGAAGTATCTGTGAAATATGTTAGGATACTTATTTGTGAAAGATGTTAATAGGGTAAACTGCATTTGAAAGTGAAGAACAAGAACTATACACTTTTGTTGAAATTGTATGCAGTTGTGCCTTAAACTAATGAGTAAGGAAAATAACGAGCTTGGGTGATGCCAGGCTCCTAGGCCGAGTCCTAGAGGAATTTGTGATGGGGCACAGGTCACCCCCAGGTGACCTACCTACTTTGTGGGATGCCTGGGTTGATGTGATCTGCCCTCCTAACCTTAAAAACCAATATCAGACTTAATTAACTGGCAAAGTATTAATTCTGTAGAATTTTGTTAATCTGCTGGACATTTGATATTTGGATACCAGCAACCTTTGCTGATTGTGAGAGGCAACAAAATGTTATATATAGCTTTACATAAGTATTTTTTGTTTGAGGGAATGGTGTAGAATTTTTCAGAATGCTGTCAGTTATAGTGCCTGATATTTTGAGATTTTTTTAAAAACTCTTCTAACAGCATTTCTAATTCAAATTTAGTTTTGTTTCTCCGTCCTGGTCTATATAAAAATTATTTATCTAAATTTGGACAATGTGGATAATGATGAGGTATGATGCCAGTTGTGAGAGGAATGAGAGCCTGTCATTGGACAGTCCATGCTGGGAACACTTAGCTTATGTGTTAAGTGTCATAACATCCTGGGATGAAAATATGAAACATATTTGTCACTGAGGAATTTTCTTTGATTTTTCAGAGGCTTCATCTCAACCAATAAGGAGAATTACCATATAGACACAGGCCATGGGTATCATAGGTTATTCCGAGATTCAGACAGGAGGCGGCGGCGAGACCTCAAGTGTGGTAAGATGGACATCAGTTCTTCTGTCTCTTTTGTCACTATGGACTGTATAAAGAATACTCAGTGTTCCAAGGTACTGAGGAAACAGCAAGTACAATTTCAGCACTAATCTCATGTTCATGATTTACTTGTCTGTCAAATAATTCACATGTCTTTCCAATGATTCACCTGTTTGTTCAATGATTCACATGTCTGTCCAATGACTAACATGTCTGTCCAATGATTCACCTGTTCATCCAATGATGCACTTGTCTGTTCAATGATTCATCTGTCCAATTAATGATTCACCTGTCTATCCAATGATTCAGCTGTCTAATGATTCACATGTCTATCCAATAATTCACATGTCTGTTCAATATGTCATGTGTCTATCCAATCATTCACCTGTTTATCCAATCATTCACCTGTCTATCCAATGATTCACAAGTCTGTTCAATGATTCAACTGTCTATTCAATGATTCACATGTCTTTCCAATGATTCACACGTCTACTCCTTCATTTGTTTCAGGAACAGATGGTCATAACGCTCATTTTCATCCATCAGGAACAAATAAAAATGTCCATAGCAGGGTAAGACATTTTCTTTCCACAAACAAGAAAAAATGTAGGACACTACGTAGTAGCTAGAAAACACAACATTTTTTCAACGATCTCTGAGGCCAGAATATTTATAGTGTATGCCAAACATATGCTGCATGCTTACAACCAATGAGATACAGTGTAGATTTCACATGACTTTTACTTATACAAATGGCATTGGATTTGGGAGAAGTGTCAAGGGTTAAGGTAAAGACAAAACATACTTGTAGTGTGAACTGTAGAATGGCTAACACTTTGAAGTTTTCCGATGCTGTTTGCAAACTTATGTTGTCCATGTGAATGTTCCCTCAGACAGTCATTAATACCATACTTTTACAAAAGTCTAATTTGTATGTTCAATTTCTATTTTCACAGATAAAGCGAGACATCCATGGCCCCTATGACAGCAATCAAAACACTCGTTATGTGGAGTTGTACCTTGTCAATGACTATAGAACAGTGAGTTGTCAGTTTGAAGCTCATGTTTCTTTTGTTCTTTTTGTATTTGTACTTGAGTTTGGTATCAAGGTATGTGAGAGAAAGACTGGTGATTAAGAAATAAAAAGTTAAAAGTTGTTAATTCTATATTTATGAATGATTCAAAATAAATATTTGGAATCATATTTTACAAAAATTTTGGATGATGTTTACAATATAAATGAACCTGAGAAATATAATGAGAAATTTATTGTCGTTAATAGAATTATTAAAATAGAAAGAGTAAATCTGAGAGTTTGGGGACTTTTTTAAAACTTTTTTTTGCATGACTTTCATTTCAGTATGAAAGAAATGGGGGAAATACGACATCGGTCATCAGGAGATCTCAGGATATCACAAACATAGTCAGCAGGGTAAGTACCGGAACATATTTTACCTCCCTGGCCAGAAGAAACACAAGCTTTAATTCTGCCCTTTTTGGGTTGTGTGGCAACAGAATATACTCAGCAACCTGTTGCAAAATCTTTGACTGCAAGGATAAATTGCAGCTGGTAGATATTATGAAATATTTATTCAGGTTGTATTAGCGCATGTCTTTACACTAGCTACCCGTGAAGGTCCGGGTTAGAATATTGATCTTCAGTAACCCATGCTTGTCATAAGAGGCGACTAACAGGATCGGGTGGTCAGGTTCGCTGACTTGGTTGACACATTTCATCAGTTCCCAATTGCGCAGATCGATGTTCATGCTGTTGATCACTGGATTGTCTGGTCCAGACTCGATTACTTACAGACCGCCGCCATATAACTGGAATATTGCTGAATGTGGCGTAAAACTAAACTCACTCACTCACTCTTTACACTAGCTGATTAGAAAGCTTGCACTTAGCAGTCAACTCAGAAACACATAAATTTCATGTTACATGAATTATCTCCCTTCAACAAATGAGTTATCTCTCTTCAGCTGTACCGGCCACTCAACATCTATGTAGCACTAGTTGGGGTGGAGGTATGGGAAGGAGGGGACCAGATCACTGTGACAACCAGTGCTGATGCAACAATGGAAAATTTCCTGAGATACCGCAGAGAAAGGATAAACCCATACCACAGAAACGACAATGCTCAGCTTGTCACGTAAGTCTCAAAGAAATATGTTCTGTTTTATTCTTGAAATTTTCTGTTACAATCAGTTGGAAATGTTTTTAATAGCGATTTTCGCTAATGTATTTTATGTGGAAATTGAATGATTAATTTAGCCATATAGCAACATTTCAGGTGGAAGTGGATAACTGGTGCCAGCAACCATGTTTAACTACAGTAGGACATTTTCATAGAATCAAATGCCAAAAATGTATTGATGCTGTGTGTTATAGTTTGACTAACTGTTCCCACTGTGGGCACATATTGTTTCTACTATAGTTTAGAAAACTCTTTGTAACAAGACCCATGAAGATCCATGTTGGAATTGATCTTCAGATCTTCAGTAAACTGACAAACTGACAATAACTCACTTCGATGGAATCAAATACCACCAGTCCTGTATATGTTTACAGATAGTTTGAAAACCGTGTCCTTTAACTCATTAAGCCAGAGAGCCCCGTCACTACTCAACACCTGGAAGCCCTCGCTGATTGCCCACTCTCTGTGCCGAGACTAATTAGTGCTAGTCACACCTGATTTCCCTGGCAGGTTTCGGGGATCACAGGAAACTGTCTAGTCATACAAACAAGTCCTGATTGTTTAATTGTGTCGTAAAGATATATGTTGAAAGAAATCAGGTGTGAATACATGTCGTGTATTGCAAGCTTTATGTAATTTTATTGCAAGTTTCTCTTGTAGACCTTTTGTCGGCTTGTACATTTATATTTTATCACAATATGCATACACATGTATTCTTTGTATGTAACAGATGAGACACACGTTAACAAATTCTCTCTCTCATATCATTGTGTGAGGTTTAAATTTACAAAACATCTATGACAATGACATACTGTAAAGAAGAATTTACTTTCATACTTTATAATCTTCGACGAAAATAGCGGTTTTGCCAATACATTTCTAGTGTTTACGAATTATTTTTATGAAAGTACTATAACGCTAGTCTGTGACTAGCACAAAGCACATTCATAGCATTGCACTTTATTTCATACAGATTTAATGCAGAAAACATACGTGACCATACAAACATACATATACAAAATGTATACTACATATTCCTTGCATAGACATAAAACAAAGAGTCACGTGATCAAATTTCCAGAATAGAACGTTCCAGAATAGAACGTTCGGTAACTCAACTGTTCAATGTAGTGGCTGGTCATATGTTATCTGCGACCAATCGTATCATGAGATACCTGTCACAGAGGAAAGGACAGGTGATGGGGCGTGGGCGAAATTTCTGAAGAGCACGTTTGGTCACTCAGCTGCTTGGATAGAGATTGGTTATTGGCTATATCCTTGACCAGTCGATATGCTGGGTTTCGGCTTTATCAACTCAAGCTATCATGTAACAGTTTGTGTATTGTAAACATACACACTGGTAACGATGTATGAAATATACACATAAGACAAACAGGAGTAGATAGTCACTTTGGCGAGTTTATTTGTCCTCATTTTAGTGTTTTTCGATAAGTAAAACAAAGCGATTGAAATCCAACCTCTGAGTAGAGGTAGTATTTATTTTCATATACATTTGATGCACACAACTAGTACATCAAACATAATGGTTAGCTGTACATGTAAATATAATCTTCACCTTGATACGAATGACTATCCAAACTAGAGTACACGCATTACAGAATTCACGAGGTGACACTATACTGAATTATTATAGTGTATAAACTTGCAGTTGACACCCCACCCCAATATTTATGAAGGTGGGCGTGCCTATATCTTTACTGAATGCAAAAGCGAGGTTCATAAGATTACAGATGTGCATGCATGTATAAACATCACAGAGAGGGTGACTCCATAAAGCAAGATGTCCAATGATATAACAGCGCATCTGTTTATTTTACACTTGTCACGGGACAAACCTTTCAACAAGGGCGTAACTACATATGCATTCTACCGAGGCTGTTATTTCAAAGTTGAAAGAGTTCAATTATCTCATTACTGTAATCTGCTTGAATTATTATACGCGTATGTGTATCGATACCGTAACTGATATACTATCCAGCTTTTATTGACGATGGATCAATAGAGACTGAGTTGATTGATACACGGATAATTGCAATCGGTTTGATAATTACACAGATCAAATACAAACGTTTTACAGAATGCTCATGTAAATTGCATAGAAAACTGACAATTCAAATCAACATGAAACTTTCAACAGCTTGAACAAAAATGCTTGAAATACCTTTGTATGGCTTACATGTAATAACTTATGATATTACTTCTGTCCATGTGTGACAATGTTTTGAATTACCAACTTACTGTCTTTTTGTAACAAGCGTGTAAAACATTTCATTGTTGTAATAACACTGACATGTATATATGTATTCGATGCAAAGGCTGACTTATCACTTTATATTAAGCTTAGGTAACATTACGAACTTTAGATTATGGAAAACAACTAGTTACAATTCAGTTAACTTCAAATTAGTAAGTTCAATTATGTTTAATCTATTCGAGCTTGGATGTATAATTACTTGTGTTTATACATTATGTTTCAGTATATGAAACATGACAACGTAATGATGCCTAAAAAGTAAATTCAAACTATTCTATTGTGTTTGAATTCTTTGTATGTCCTTGAAATTTCGTATATTGTTTCCTATTAATTAGGTAGTTGAAGGAAATATAATTTATAGTAACCTCTAAACCATAACATCTAATTCAATCAAGGTGCATACGAAGGGTTCACACCCATAACCCCTACATGCCACTACCCCTACACTCCAGTACCCCTACAGCTAGTTAAAACAACACCTAGCATTTACCTGTCTGATATAATAGACTAATCCTAAAGAGGGATTAGTGCATGGAGCATAGATGAGATCAAGGGATGCATAAATGTGATTAGTCTTTTGTGGCAAGGAAATTAGTGGTCTCATGATGAAAACAAACCTCAACCCTGAGTAGAAGAAACATACAATTGGAAAAGTGTTGTGATTGCTAAATGTTGTTAAGAAAAGTTGTTATAGTGCACTTTAATGTTACATATATTACAATGTTGAGAAGTTGAGAGAAATAAAACGTGGAGATGATACAGGAAATTGAGATTGTTCCATACAGTATATAAGTGCTGACATGAAACAAACATGGCATCAACATGGCTGGTCTTCGCAATGTTGAGTTTGTTATGTCACGGAGAGGTAGCCGTCAAGTTCTGTTGGATGGATATCTTCACACTAAGAATGTTGAGCGACAGACCTGTGTACACTGGAAGTGTGTGCAGTCAACATGCAAAAGGAAGAGTCACAACTGTTGGCGTGTGGTAAGAAATCGACTGAACACAATCACCCACCAGAGGATAGCCAGAAGGTCCGGTTTGTTTAGCAACCTGAGGAAGAGAGCCAGGGAGGAGTCAATACCGATCGCACCATCTACAACAACGAGCTTACCAACCTGACTGATGACGGAGACACGTGCCATGCCCTCCTTTCCATCTGTTAGCAGTGCCCTGTACCGCCACCGCCAGAAGGCGATTCCTGTCTTACCACAGGCGAGATCAGAAGTCGACCTCCAAGATCCCTGGGCGCAGACAGCAGATGGTAGACCATTCCTCCTGTTTGCGGACGGCCATGGCGACAAGATCTTGGCCTTCGGAACACAAGAGAGTCTTGAAGCCTTGCAGTCAGCTGACAACCTCTACATGGATGGAACTTTCACAGCCTGTCCTGCACTGTGGAATCAAGTATACATCATCCATGCAAGGCGTGGCAGCTCAACATATCCCCTCATCTTCGCCCCTTCTTCCGGACCCGCCAGACAACAACCTACTCCAGACTCTTCCGATTGCTCAAGGATGAAGTTCAGCAGAGACTCAACAGACCGCTTGATCCTGCCTGCATCCAGACCGATTTTGAGCTAGCAGCAATCCACGCCATAGAAACAGAATTTCCCACTGCTGGCGTGAAGGGCTGTTTCTTCCATTTCTGTCAAGCCATCTGGAGGAAGGTTCAGGATCTTGGACTAGCTGTTGCCTACAAGGAAAACCCGAAGTCACCAAGTGGATCAGGAGAGCAGCTGGACTACCTCTACTTCCTCAAGCAGCGGTCCAAGACACTTGGATTGAAGCCATGGATGACACTCCTGGCGTCCCAAGAGCTGGCGACTTCAAGCGACTACATCGTGACAACATGGGTCGGCGACACTGCCAGATTTTTCTTCACCTGTGGAACCACAACTTGACAGCTGGGCGAGGACAAACAACAACCTGGAAGGATTCCACAACCGTCTGAATCGAGAAATTCCACACAGGCACCTGAACATCTACAGATTTGTAGAAGTCATCAGGAGAGTCGAACACGCCGAGAGAGTGAGGATTGCTCAGATTGACTTTGGTGCTGCGCCAACAAACAGAAAAAGCGGTGTACAGAGATCGACAACCGTCTGTGCAGACTCAAGAACAGCTTCAGCGTGGACAGAAATCCCTCTTCAGTTTCTTGGCGCTTGGTCGGGCTACCTGCTCAAGCTTGGATGGACTGTAACACTGACACTTGAACACTTGTGATAATGTAATAATGTGGTCTTTCTCTCATCCTGATATGTTGATATGAAACACTTGTGATAATGTGATCTTTTGTTCATCCTTATATAATGATATGAAAACACTGAATGTAAATAGACTGAAAAACTTGACAATTGATCTCAATGATGTGGTACTTTGTGATAACACATGTATTAAAGTCACTTTTAAAATCTGTCTTGTGTCATGTTGTGCATCTTAAGTGGACCAGTCCACTGTATGGAATAGGTAACAGGCAGGAGATTAGTTATGCAACAGACCATAAACTATGGTGTTATAAGCTGTAGGGGTAGTGGCATGTAGGGGTAATGGGAGGGTACCATACGAAGTATTTTAGTATCCATTCCCAAGGAAGAGTACCAGGCACTTACCTCTGTGAAAACATCATAATCCCCTTTCTCGCCGACATGCGTTCATTTGCTAAACGCTGTACAAGACTATGATAATGATTAGCAATTGTTATCAAAACACTTTAAATACTTCTTCTGATTGATACTAAAGGTGGGATCTCTCGTAAGAAAAGCTAACATTTGCTCAGTACTGCTAAATTGGTTGAACTAATATGTACAGTGCGATTTTTAAAAGTACAACACACATGTGCGTCTCTTGCTGAATAAGAGGTGCTTTCTGTTGAAGACTGTATGGGGCTCTTGCTGTGAGAAACTGCTTATTACCTGCCCCATAAACACGTCATTCGCTGTGAGGAGCTGATTAATTTGCCCCATATATGCGTCTCTCGGCCTTAATGAGTTAATGTCCTGTTTTGTTTCAACTCTAGTGTTGTCCAGAGTTAAGCAGATTTTATGCTGTTTCAGTGGAATCTTCTTTGACCACGGAGTTGTTGGTAAAGCCATTAAAGGCCCCATCTGTACGTACCAGTTCTCGGGTGGAGTCAACATGGTGAGAACTTTATACTATATGCTCATTGAGTGGTTCAAGCATTATTATTATCCATTTGCAGCAGTTGTTAAGTATTGAGAACTTTCTCTATTCAAGAAATGTTTTTTGAACATTGGTGTGTTCTCATTTATGTATAGAATACAATGTAGGGAATTTCTAGGATGACATCCTGTATTGCTGCGAGGTGGGCACGGACATCTATTTATTAAAAAAACAACTTTGAATAGTTTTTCATTTATGGCAGCATAAATTTAAGAAACAATACCAGCCAGCCAACAGATGTCCTTGATATATTCAACGTGATAACAAGCCAAACTCGTGTCCACATTGCCAAGACAAACATGGGAAAACATGTCAAATAATGTATTTCTTATTGTTTCTCTAATTATACTGAATAATACATCAACTGCTGACTTGTTATTGTTTTTGTTACCTAATATTTTTATATGTATCATATTCACCTCATAGTGGACTTGTTGCATCCCTTGACTTGTATAATCTTAGTTTGAATATTTGATTTTGTTTTAGGATTACGATGGCTTAGTGACACTGGTGGCAACAACTGTAGCTCATGAGATGGGCCACAACTTTGGTATGGAGCATGACAACGATTCCACGTGTTACTGCCCCAAAGACAAATGCATCATGGCGGCCACCAGTGGGTATGTGGAAACTGAAATCTTTACCTGGAATGTTGGATCTACACACCTTCCAAACAAGAAAATCCCGGTGTATTTTTTTCATCCCTCACTCATTCATCTATATTTCAGGGATGGCAATTTTCTGCGGATTTTATTTCAAATTGTTCAATTGTGAATCGTCTAAATCCATTGAGAAACCCTCAACTCAATGACACAATATCAAGTTTTTAGTTGAAAATGGATTTACCTGTTGCCATCCCTGATATTCACCCAAATCCCTCATCTTTTATCTTCTCTTTGAATTACAAGACTTGTAATCTTATCATTAAAATATGGATAGTTTATATGACAGTCATGTAAAGTAAGATGTATTAGTTTGTAACAAAGCATCCAAGATGGTGGCTTTGGTTGCAATGATGCTGGAACATCTAATGATCAAAAGAATATTTTGGGTGTTTTCAGTCAGACAAGCCCTACAGACTGGTCTACCTGTTCCAAGAATGCTCTCCAAGAGGCGTTTGAGCTGGGCATGGACTACTGTCTGCGTAACAAGCCATCTCAGATCTTCGAGGGACCTGTGTGTGGCAATGGCTTCGTCGAGGATGGGGAAGAATGTGACTGTGGACTTCCTCAGGTACTTAAAGAAATTCCACATTTTTTATAGTAGAATGATGATGTTATAGAAAGTAATCTGGAAAATCTACTAGCCAATTAGACTAACAATTTGAATTTGGACCTCTGACATAAGCAAAACTGGGCAAGAGGGCTAGTGCTACTTTTTATCCCTGTGATGGTATTAGTGCATTGGGAGCTCATGAATTACTGTTTTTAGATGTCCCATAAAGCAAACTATTGTTTGTGGTTTGTTTATAAAGCATGTCTGGGATTAAGGACATATTAGCTTCCAACAGGTGCAAACCCTCTCATCTTGGAGCATTGTTTACAAGTTTCATACCCTGCTAAAGCATTTGACTGTTGACTTGGACTATTTATACTGTCAAAATGTGTTCTGGTGCCATCTGGTGTGTCATTATTAGAATTGGCAGAAAAAGAGTTACATTGACCAAACATCTTTAAATATATTCCAGTATTCTGGTGTGTATGATGTAGCTGATGTTGTGTTGATTGCCAGGACTGTCACAACCGATGCTGCAACGCCTCGTCATGCAAGATGTACCACCAGGCCAAGTGTGCTACAGGACGTTGCTGCGACCTCTCCACTTGCAAGGTAAGTTAAGGGTTTTGTATTGGCTCTGATAAAAATGACAGTATCCTCTCAAGAGGGAATGTTGTCAGGGACAGTTATAAATGGAGATGGGAGAATTGTACCTGGTTTGGTAATGTAATACAAGCACAGCCATCCTATGTAAATAGACAAGTATAATTTTTCATATGAACATATGAAGCCATTATGTCTTATGTCCAGAGTTTTTGACAACACTGAGACTTTCAGATTGTTTAGCAGAGTATATAAGAACATTCATTCTGTTTTTACGTGTGACTCAGTTGAGAAGTTAAGCTGTGATTTTTGTAATTAACATGCTTAAATGCATCTGTGTTTATTACCCAATTTTGTTTCATTCCAGCCTAAGGAAAAGTCTACATTGTGCAGGGAACCAATTGGTGAATGTGACCTCCCCGAGTTCTGTGATGGCTCAGCGGAATACTGTCCAACTGATGTCTTCCTGCAGAACGGACTCTCCTGCAAAAATGGACAGGTAAGTTGACACAAATACCCCAGGTGTGGGAGTCATAGTATCCCTGTTCCACAGTATAATGTATATCACAAATGATGAATCATGAATTAAGTAGTACAATATTTTGATGAAAGCGGGACACACTTCATCACTGATATATATAACACAGCTAAAGTCTCTGATCCAATGGGTGGTCATCACTTGCAATCTCTTGAGTCATATTCTGATAATGTTCTCCAACCAGTGGAGTTTCAGATTAAGAGCACTGCAAGTCCCAATAGATCAGCAGAAGCTTATCACCCAGATTGTTTTTGATGCAATTGGAATTTTGATGTTCTTAAGTTCAGTACCAGCAATAGAGATCCAGGGCCCCAATACACAAAGCCTTCGAAGCACATGACATTCGTAAGCCTATGATAACCTACAGCGTTATGAGAGGTTGGAACATTATGAATGCTTTGTGGATTGGGACGCAGAAGAGTGCTGCACTTGAGCTGTACCATTAAAGTGTAATGAGCACCAAGCTTTTTCATATTACTGTAGTAAATCATGGCATTTATCGTGGCAGGAATCAGGTGGTCCTTAGCCTTGTTTTGAGGGTTACGTTTCCAATGGTTGCTTCTGTTTCCAGTCGTACTGTTACAAGGGGAAGTGCAACACCCACAGCGACCAGTGTAAGCTGTTGTGGGGGGACACGGGACGGGCATCGGACCCCATCTGCTTCCAGCAGCTCAACATGCGGGGGGACCAGGACGGCAACTGTGGCTACAACTGGACCAAGGACACCTACAGCACTTGCCGCAGAGAGTGAGGAAATGTTTTGACTAGGAACATATTTTAGACATTACATTACTTGTTCAGAATTATCTGGGTATATTGAGTGTGAATTAAGAGGCAAATAGTCAATTATCAAATTTGTTGAACGAGTTTGAGAAGATGTTTTACTTAGAGACGTATGCTTGTGGCATTGAGAGTGAGTGAGTTTAGTCTTACGCCACACTCAGCAATATCTTCAGCAACCCATGCTTATGGTAGGAGGCAACTAACAGGATCGGGTGGTTCGGCTCGCTGACTTGGTTGACACACACGCCATTGTATTCCAATTGCGTAGATCGATGTTTATGCTGTTGATCACTGGATTCTCAGGTCCAGACTCGCTTATTTGCAGACTGGTGCCATATAGCTGGAGTTTATCTGAGTGGGGGTTAAACAACAAACCAACCATCTATGCCATACTTTAGCACTGACCTTCCATACTGTACCACTAAAATTGCTTTGTTAAACATCTGGATGTAAGGATAGGCCTGAATATGGGATGTACCGTAGTACCATTTCCTTCTCAGCTGACCACCCTATGTATGAGATGATGTGTTCTCTGTGTTCCAGGGACGTGATGTGTGGTCTGCTTCACTGTGTACATCTCAACGAGAAGCTGATGTTCTGGAGGGACAACCTGGCTCATACCATGAGAGCTAGCTTCCTCACCCGGGGTAACACACAATATGTCTGCCGTTCGGCCATGTTGGATGTTGGCCTAGACATGCCTGACCCTGGGATGGTTCCCGACGGTGCCAAGTGTGAAGTCAATAAGGTAGGAAGGACAAATGAATGAATATGGGAGCACTTCAAGAATTTGATGTCAGATGGGAATTTTGATTCCCTATGTTTTGGGGAGAGCGGGTTGTAGGTCTGCAAGTTTTTTGTCTGTCAAAATCAACATATCAGTGAATTCACAGTTCATATAATTAAATGTACAGCTGTAGTTAACAAATTTTTTTCATTAATTTTCTCAAAGAGGATATTGCATTTCAGGGGATAACTCAAATTGTGCTAAATGATCTTTTCAAGTGTAACAGGTTTCAGTTCACTGTCTCTATGTCTTAGTTGTAGTAGTCTTCTTAGTTGTAGTAGTAGTAGTAGTAGTAGTAGTAGTAGTAGTAGTAGTAGTAGTAGTAGTAGTAGTAGTGGTAGTAGTAGTCTTAGAGGTGCACTTCCCTATCATGGCTCAGTTGAAATTTACATATTAGATTCTGTCTTAACATTCAGTTACGAAGTCTTGGCAATGTGTGACACACATCTGTATTTAATGTTTTATTGGGTCTTGTTATTACCTATGTTTTGTTTTTGACACAGATCTGTGTGAATCACAAGTGTGTCCCTCTGGCCAAGATGAACATCCCACAGTGCCCCGGGAATGGTTGCAATGGACAGGGGGTAAGGCTGTACACCTTTTAGAAACGTCGACACACATCATTCTTTCATTATTTGACTTTACCTGGTATTTGAATTGTGGCCCTTGTGAGCACTGTAATCATTAGTGGGGCAATAATGCATCACTATTGCAATAGTTCAGAACATAAACAATCTACAAGCAATGTGTCCATAGTTCCACCAACTACAGATCAAAACAGGTGTGTTACTTAAGGATTGGGGTGGTGGAGTAGCCTTGTAGTTAAAGCATTTGCTTGTCATGTCAAAGAACCGGGTTCGATTCACCACATGGGTACAATGTGTGAAGCTCATGTCTGGTGAGCCCCGCAGTGATATTGCTGGAAAACTAAACTCACTCACTCACTAAAGGATCAACCATTTGATATTCAGAGTGGGGCCTAAATATATTTAAGAATCATCTTGCAACAATGAATTTATGTTTGATATCCTGTGTTTTTGTTCTTCACAAATCTTCTTGTCATTTTAATGCTTGATAATTTTGTCAGCCTTGATTGATGTGTTAATTATGGGACATTATGTTCCAAGGCTTTATCCAGTGTGCAGCCATTCATGTGTGGTACTTTGTGTGTAGGTGTGCAACTCAAATGGAAACTGCCACTGCAACAATGGGTTTGACCCTCCCTACTGTAACAGGCCAGGGTTTGGTGGGAGTGTTGACAGTGGGCCGTCCAGTAACGAATATGGTAAGTTGGCTTGTCTTGCCAATCATCTGCTGTCTTATGAAGTTTCAGCTTCAGTTGGATTCACATAATTACTTCTGTATTTGGGAGAATGAAGTGGCATGGAGACTTGTTGTCATAGATTTTCTTGGAGTTCAAGCCATGTTCCTGCCGCAAGAAAATTGAGAAAAATGATATCGATCAGTCTCATGTTTTGTCTATTAATCTCCATGTCTTGTTACATGTTCCTTTTCCCTCTCACTCCACGACATAGACCTGGGTTCGATTATCCACATGGGTACAATGTGTGATGCCCATTTCTGGTGTAACCCGCCGTGATATTGCTGTAATATTGCTGAAAGCAGCCAGAAAAACTAAATTCACTCACTCCCTCCCTCTCCCTACCTGCCAGTGATTGTATTCCTGTTCTTGTAGCCAACAAGAGTCTGCTGGTGGGCCTACTAGTGTTCTTCCTGGTCATACTGCCTCTTGTTGGTGTCTTCATCTTCTTTGGCTACTTCTACAGAAGCAAACTCAAGACTTGGTGGCACCTAGGTCCAAAACTCAAGTATGGGTTCGTACAAATTTTCATTATACTGGTCATATGTCAAATCAGTATTTAACAAGATAATTTGATTCTTAGCAGCAGGAAATTTAAATTAGTTATGTTCAGGAATTTGACCTCAAAACTAATAAATAACCTTCCATTTGATTCTTTATATTAGGAAGCTTCAGACATGTGATTTCAAACAAACAGTCATTTCTGTATCACTTAAGTGAACATTCTTTGACCCACATGCATGTATAAATGGTACTGAAAAGTACCCAAAAGTAAGAATTCTTTACAAAAAAAATAGTCTAAGTTTGAACTTAAGCTCCAAAGAACAGTTATTTTGTGAATAATATACTGAAAGATTGCCCAACTATTTTTCCGTAGGGTCCCTGGCAAGAAACCCAAGCCACCTCCACAGCCTGTGCGAACCACATCTAACATCAATGATCAACGCCCTAAGTCAGTGCACATGAAGAGAGCCCCAACACAAGTTGAAATATCAGATCCTGTCCTCACTGGGAGTACTAACCGAGAGTCACATGCATTTGTGGGACCAGCTAGACCCATTAGCATGTCACCAAAACGAGAAAGAATTCCAATGAAGCCTGATCCTGTTGTGCCCGCTTCTGCAAAGGTCCAGCCAAAACCTGACAGAGTGTCACAAAAGTCTGGAGCTAAAATTAAGCCAGATCGGCCTTCAACAAAACCTGAAAGGTCTGTCCCTCGAAATGAGAGGCTAGGGCCACCTGAAGGTGGAGCCAGAATTGTCAAAAGAGAATCTTTTAGAGGGTCAGAAATATCCAGTCCGGTTTTAATGAGTACTACCAACAGGAATTCAGATGTTTTCCCTGAGGATGAATTTCATGAAATTCCAGGTCAGAGTCAGTTGATTCCAAGATCCTCAGGGTCAAGAAGTCCTCCACCAATTCCAGGCCATGGAACCACACCTCGTGCAAAACGCACACAGTCTGATCGTGAAAAAATAGAGCGACCACTGTCTATTCCTCCTTCTAAAGGAGCTCTAGCTCGTCAAGCTGCTGTGAGTACGTCAATGAAGACACAGAGGCCACCTGCACCTCCTCCAAGACCTGTACCACCAGATCCCAAAGAATCAGATTCAGAGGGGCCTGTGTATCAAAATGACATCTCTATAAAAAGCAAAGGTCCTAAACCAGTGGTGAAAAAGGATGTACCTGAGAGAAAGGACCCACTTCCCAAGAAACATATATCCTATAACTGGGATAGTTCTCAAAAGCATGATTTATCACAACGGAAGGAACCTCCCAAGAAGAAGGATCAAGGTTACCGCGATCGAAACTCGCGGGATCACAGGACTCAAAATTCACTGAGTGATAGGAACAAGAATAACGATAGTGCTAGATCCAACATGAATTCAGGCTTGAAATCCAAGCCCATGTATACAAATCTTGCTTCACCAGAGGGTGACCTTGATGCTAAAGAACACTCATCAGTGTCGGCCCTGAGGGCCAAATTTGGTGCATCAGACTCCAGAACAGGAAGTGTAGGTCGGAGTAATTCACGCATAAGTGATAGGCCATCCATTGCCTCGAAGCCTTCCCCCAAGGTGGTGCGGAGTTTTAATGTATGACATCTGTTGCATATACTGTGATCTCACCATATAAGGATGTAATTATTTTGACTAGTGGAGTGGAAACATTTTCCTGTACAAAGCCAGTCATGTTCATCATATTTAGGGGCTCTGTTAGGGTGTGATGATTTACCACATGTACAAAATGTGTAGGTTTGTAGTGAAGAATCCCTAACAGATCCCCATTTTATTTGTGTGAAAGAGTGCATTGATGTGTCCAAGGCCAATAGCATCTATTTCTACAGTCTTCCGTTGTGGACATTGTTGCACAACATGGTATGGTTATGAAGGGTAAAATCTGCTTGGAAAACATTCAAGGATATCTGCTGGTTGGTGGTTGATAGGGTTAAACTGAAGTAATAGTAGGCACATCAGGAAAACACTCCATGAAGAATACCACCTTTAATGATATGATAATTCTTTCATTTTAAGCATGCTGGGGAGTGTGTGAGTTTAGTTTTACTCCGCACTCATTAATATTCCAGGCATATGGCGATGGTCTGTAAATAATCGAGTCTGGAGCAGACAATCCAGTGATCATCAGCATGGGCATTGCTCTATGCAAATGGGATACGATGACATGTGTCAACCAAGTCAGCGAGCCTGACCACCCGATCCCTTTAGTCACCTCTTACAACAGAGAGTTGCTGAAGATCAATTCACGGATCTTCACGGGTCTGCTGGGAGTAGTGACATTAGAACACTGTGGCCCAGCTCACATTAACTTACATTTTAAGCAACGAGCAATGTCTGAGCTGAATCACTTACTGTTTGGTATACCGTAATGCAATCCAAAACTTCAGTTTTCGTACCGACATTTTATTAACCTTTTTAAACCTTTTCTAAAATGTCTTGAAATCAAATCATTTTGTCAAAATCTATGTATTTCTTTGCTAGACAGAACTCAAATGTTACCAGCAGATATCCTTGGAAATGACATGATTTTGTTTTATGCGAAGCTGTGGTTGATGCCTGTATGTATTGAGCAAGTATTGAGCACCTGTTTGTGATGTCTACAAAGGGAGTAATAGTGATTACTACTAGGATAGTAACAACTGAAGTGATAGCAAAGTTGTTTCAGGTACCGCTTCTGAAATATATTATACAAAATATATTCTCTAGTAAAATAATCAATATTCAGTCTGGGAAATTTGTACAGATATAAATATATTGTTTTCAGAATTGAAAGAAAATCACATCAGTGTATGATTTTGTTAGTATTCTCTTTGTCATAGAAATGTAATTTTAACTTTTAATGTATATTATGAGCATTATAGATCAATTTCAATATTTTCATATTTAGATATTAAGAACATTTTTGGGGACTTGACAATAGAGAGTTGTTATGGAGTCAGTGAGTATGTCAGGGTTGATGTGTAACCAGGTAGACTGTAGTGATACTGCCTATGTTTATATCATCACAAGTCCTCTGGTAGAGGGATGTCATCACTAGTTCCATGTTTGTTGATACAATATGCACTGATAGTGTGGTTGGACCTTGGTGGAATATGGTAACCCAACATCATGATTCCGTCACAGTATAGGCACTCCAAGGAGTCTTCATGTGCTAAATAGAATCACATGCCTTACGTTTGGGCCAAATGAAAATAATCATTAGGTCCCCGCTAAATATGAGTAGGGTAGGTAGGTAGGGCTGCCTTCGATATATTTTATCACAGATTCTTTCTTGAAGATTGAATCTAAGTTAAAGAGGGCTAGTCTCTGGATTTGGGGCTGTCAAATCAACTATTAATTATTATTTGTTTGGCGTCACATGATTTTGTTCTCTTGCTGACTGTATACAATTATGCTCTTTATTTCCATCAGCACATAATAAAGGTACACTATGAATATGTATTGACGTGAGATTTATTGAAGTGTGAGCACTTTGTCAGGAGGGGTAATTCCTGTATCAACCCTGAACTACCTCAATGACACGATGCACAGCCTATTAAAGTATATGCTCACAAAATATTTCATAATAGTAGACAAGAGTTTTTTTTCTTTTATCTATCGACTTGTTTGGTCAACCTGCCTGTATGTTTGTGAATAATCACTTGATAAACAATTAACATGATTATATAATGATGACTTAGGAAAACGTCATCATTAATTATCATGATTACAAAATATGTTGATAACAAAAAACCTTAGCATTGAATGTGACATTTGGAAAAATAATTAAATTAAATTTAAAGATAGAGAAGAGCAATCTGTATCTTGACAATATCCAACCCATTGACAGAGTGTTCTGTCATGTAACATTGGAATATGTTGTAACTGTGGCTGCTACAAATATTATGCTCATTCTTGCAAAGTATGAATCAACATTCACTTTCACTCCTGATAATTTTAGAATTAATTAAAGCATACCAGTAACAAAATTACATTTCATCCGTCTTCAAACTTGGTGAATGTCATTCCATCATGAGCCAGGTAATGACAAGCTGTAAAGGAGTTTGTCCTTTTCCTGTTGAGAATGGTAATATCATTTTCCTGTTGAGAATGGTAATATCATTTTCAAATCCTGAATCCCCAGAGCCATTTCTGAGTCAAACTGAACATGAAGTATGTTCATGTGGTCGCCTTCTACATCTTTGTCCAGCTTACGTGAGTCAAGGACCAGTATGATAGCTCTAACCATAGGATACATGACACACTTTGGTTGTTGGGGCGGTGGCGTAGCCTAGTGGTTAAAATGTTAGCTTGTTACGCCAAAGAACCGGGTTCGATTCCCAACAGTGTGTGAAGCCCATATCTGGTGTCCCCTTCCATGATATTGCTGGAATATTGCTAAAAGCGACGTAAGAATGTACTCGTTCACTCACTTAGGTTGTGCATCATGTCAAGGGTGAACCTGGCTCTGTGTGTTGTGGTAGTGCTGTAAGTATCCCTCAGCTACTACCATTCTGTGATTCGGGGAAGATATGCAGTATCGATTCTTTGCCTTATTGTTTAGTTGCTATTTCTGCCTTTGCTGACTTGTACATTTTTATTTTTTGTATATTTTCATAGTCAATTAGACATTCCATAATATATATATGCCCACCGTTATGATGCAGTATGTAGTGTGTGCTGCTGACCGTGAGTGAGTCACCTGAGGCGTGTCTGATGTTTCCGATTGCCAAGCTTAGAATTGCTGTGATGCAAACAGTGTAAATTTTGGTTAAGATTTTTTTTTACAACATTTCTGTTTTTCTCTGTGTGTTTGCATTCTGTAAATATTATACTGGAACAGATTGAAAAGACATACAGTAATCAACATTAACACGTTTAAATGAATAATAAGAAATCAATTTGAGTAATATTTCAACTTATACAACAACATGAATGTGTTTAATTACTTGATGCATAAATAGACAGAATGACTTTATTTCAATTGTTTGGCCTCTGTGGAAAAATGTCAATGTGCATTTTAGAGTGATTCAGAATAGATACCAGTTTAATTGTAGGAATAACAAGAAATAATCTGTTATGGTTTTTTAAAAATGTTTACATATGGGTGTTGATTTAAAATTGCCCTTTTATTGCATCAGCAAAAGTGTTCTAACGGTTGAATATCTCTGAAAGTAATATCTCATTTCTACTACCATTAGAAACATATATTCTTGTTATAAACATGTCATCTACATTAGTGGATATGAAAATTTCATTGGAATGGAGCAAAATAATAATACTGTATTCCTGTTTACAATTTACTCATTCTTTATATGGCATAGCTTCAATAAGAATGGTTGGTCTATGTTATGTTGTATATGTTTCACATTTTGCTTTAATTTGAAATCTAGTCAATTTAATTCACAGTTAATGTTACCAAATAGTAATATAAAAGTGTAACAATGGACAGTTGTAGCTGAAGCTGATAAGTCAGTGTTAAGGAAAACATGTTGAGAAATGTTGAACACCAAACTTTTCAGTACATATTTATTGATAGGCACAATAATCTATTACCATCTTGGACTGTTACATCTGTGATCTGTTTATGGTAATATGCAATTATAGATATTGCTACTCAATTCCTGATCAGAAAAATATAAATATTAGCAGGGTGTGGAAGTTTTGTTTTTGAAATAATAATTTCAAAACAGCTGAGACAGCTGAGATCTTGAATATATCATTACATTGTGTTTATGTGGTGATTTCTCAATTAGTTGTGCTTTTAGCTTGGAACAGTATTCTAGAATGAAACATATCCCATCTCAATCCAACAGCTACATATGCTGATGAACAAAAGTAAGGGAACACAAAGGTTATTTATGGCTTGTTTACATGTATGAATATCTCAAATGAACAAAGTAGGTCTGTAATAAGTGTGTATTTATCACTTGTGAAACAATCTCCCATCATCATCAAACAAATACTTCTATTCGTATGTATTCCTTGTTCTATTTCCTCCTGTTATATATAATGTTGATGGTTTACAAGAGAGTGCAAGTCAAGAGAAACATGCCCATTCCGCAGAACATTTGATTCGATGAACCTGCAAAACATTAACAGAAATGGAAAAGTATAAAAGTGACACACCCATTAGAATTATGATTATGATATGATTATTTCAAATCCTTCTAGCACCAGTAATCTGCCAGTGCCCTGTTTCACAAAGCTATTGTAACGCTACAACTGTCTTAAGTCTATGTTACAGTATAGGAGGTACGACAATCGTGAAAGCTTTGTGAAATAGGGCCCAGCCTTTTATATGGAATTCTTGAATAACACTGACACAAAAAGAGTGATATATCTTTAGAAATCAACTCATGCATCTTGGTCTTTTTAGTCACTGCAGCAATCATGTCCTGTATGAGACACATATGCAGATACAATCCTCCTTCATTGAACTACACTTTGCATAGAACATATTCTTCTTGAGAACATATTATGGCTTTGTGTGTATATTTTTGTTCAGTTATTTTGCCCAGCCAGCTGGTCTGGTGTGGTGTCCTCTTCAACATATGTTTTGTTAAGTCTTTGTCGGTATTTTAGTTCAGGACGGTTCACAGTGTTATGTAAGGTGAGGTGAGGTGAAATTGGGTTTAACGTCGTGCTTGAGAATATTTCACTCATATGACGACGTACATGTGTGTGTGTGGCTGCTTGTACTAAGAAGACTGAAGCTGGTTTAATAGTGCTAGCCCACTGAGATACCATGCCACAGTGAAGCATGAATACCCCACTCAGACACATTATACTGACTCCGAAACGACCAGTCCTTGTACCCGAGCGCCGAGCGCCAGGCAGGGACCAACAAGTAGCATATTTTAACGTCTTTTGGTATGACGCGGTCGGGGATCGAACCCGCGACCTTCCGCTCTCCGGGGGGACACTCTAACCACTACCCCACGGAGGCGGTCCACAGTGTTATGTAGGTATGAGTGGATATTAAGAGTATTACTGAATTAGGTCATGCTTTTGTTTGGTTTTCATTTCATGTTGAATAGAACTCAAAACCTTAGGAAGCAGTATTTGAATTCAAATTAATATAACTTACATTTAAGAACTTGTCATAATGCTGATGGATGTATTTCAGAGCAAAACCAAATTGATATATGTTTGAGACCTACATCACTTTGGGCTTCCATTAGCTTACACACCATGGCCCCATTCCTCAAAGCGATCGTGGAGCTAAGATGATCGTAAATCCCATACTTCAACATAGATTTAGGACTGTCGTAGCGCTATGATCGGGACTCCCATACTTTAACATAGGTTTAGGACTGTCGTAGCGCTACGATCGGGATCGAGGCCCATGACATTATTGGAACACTGTTTAAAGCAGCATTTGGTTCAACTCCCTGTCACACTCTGATCTAGACACTGTGAAACAATGTCCTGGATGTTTAGAATGAGGCTGTGTGGTAATAAGGAAGGCATACAATTTCATTGTTTTCATCAGATTCCCGTGATGCATCTGACCATCTATAAACAAGCACATGATGTCGAGTCTGGGGGTCCCAGTGTCCATTCTGTAAAACTGTCATATGATCACGTTCATGTGTGCACAGGTCTTCCTGTTTTGAACTGTCAGTGACCGAGTCACATTTACCTAAGAACAAACAGTTGTTACAACTGCATCCTCAGGGAGCAAGCATTTGTTTTTCACTCCAACACCATTATGGGTTCCTATTGCAATGTCACCTGATACAGGGACATCTTCAGCTTCAGTTTGTTATGTTCAGGAGCTCACTTATTATTTTAGATAATAGATATAAATCAAAACCTTGCTCCCTTACCTGTCACAACAGGCTAAACATTACAAGAAGACATCAAGATCATCACTTTAATTAAATATGACAGGTTGACCTTTATTTGACAGAATTCCATCTATGCCATTACAAAACCTAAATGCAGGAATTCTATTATTTCAACTGTGGCTTTTCTATGTATTTATGCAGGTACACAATGCTTCAAATTTTATCTATGTCTTGCTTCTTCTCTTTCATGCAAAATGCAACAATATGCAGGTGTGGTATTTATTTATTTATTCCACATCCTATGCAGGTATTTAAGGTGGGATGATTGGTGGAATTATAATCTACTAAAGTGTAAAATCTTTGAGAACATGAATTCCATTGAAGACGGTGTTACCATTTCCCCTGATCTTACAACTGTGTGTGATATTTGTCCTTGTGTCTTGTAAGTTGTGAGGCAATGATCAGCTGTATAGTCTGTTGTAATCATCAACAAATTACATTTGAATAAACAAAATATATGTAAATGATAAACATGCTTGCGAGTCTCTTTGTCAGAACTGGCTGGATGACCTTATAATCAGACTTGATGACATTGCTGGGGCCATTGTACATTTGACCCGTGAGGATCCAGGTTAGAAGTCTGGGCCTAGATTTTCGAAGCTCTCTTAGCTAAGATAGCCGTAAGTGCCATACATTAACATTAACTTACGACTATCTTAGCTCTAAGAGAGCTTCGAAAATCTAGACCCTGGTCTTCAGTTACCCATGCTTGTCGTAAGAGTTGATCGGGTGGTCAGGCTCGCTGTCTTGGTTGACATGTCATTGTATCCCAATTGAGTAGATTGATGCTCATGATGTTGATCACTGGATTGCCTGGTCCAGCCTCGATTATTTACAGACCACCACCATATAGCTAGAGTATTGCTGAATGTGGGATAAAACTCACTCAGTCACTCACCCATTGCATATTTGTCAGATCACATACCTGTTAGATCACATGGCCCTATTTCCATCAATGTAAAATTAAGTTAAAATTTAATTTTTTCACAAGGTCATGCACAAAATTTCTCTCTGTAATTATTCAGTAGATACTGTAAGTCTGAATTGTCATACTTGCCAAACTCTGACCTGATTTTATGCATATCAAATCCAGAGTTACGTCCCTTGCACACACTAACTCCTTAATATTCAAATGAATTAATGCAATGTTGCATTATATCGACACTCTACCAGCTGCATATTATTTCGAGCGAACCCCATAGATTTATGCCCTTTGGAACGCTCTTTACAAATATCCTATTATGCAACTTGTGATTGAGGCCAGTTCGTCAAACACCGACAACACTGCGTGCGAGAACTTTTGATGTATGTAGAAATTGTTTACATTCCACATGTTGCAATTGTTATGTTTGGAAGCTGTTCGCCTAGAAGTTTCAATTATCCATTTCAGGCAATCGTAAGGGATAATAAGTCTTTTATTGCATCAATAGGAAGCTAAAATGAGTGCATATGCCCCCAATATATAAAATATGGGCCTAATATTGTCAAAATTTGTGACATTGTGCCTTTAAGTGACCAGTGAAAAAGGAAACACTTATAAGTGTTGTATATGCATAACGTGAAGATTAAACACATCTTCAGACTTCATTTGGAATTCCCACGGGTAATCTTTGGGGAACTGAAAATACAAGCAACTGCAACTTTTCAGATAACAAAGTTTATTTTTACACAAAAGGAATAAAAGTAAAAAACAACAGCACATATCAAAAACACTACAAAAGACAAAAGGCTTGGCATAGGAGCTTGATCACGTATGTATACATGGAAATACAGTACTCCTGAACAGTCCAGGGGCTGATAAAGGAGACTGACCATCTTGACAAGGGAATAACCATGTACTGAAAGACATGAGACACTGAACTGGCCATTTGAAATCTTCATTACCACAGGATTATAAATAGAAACTGTAAGTGCACTCATGTAAATATCACTTCACAAGTGAATAGTTTACTTCATCAAAAGTCTATTGTGACTAAAGGTCAGAATGATTTAAGTGTAAATAGCAGGGATGGCAATTTTCCACGGATCCGCGGAGTTCCGCTGATTTTGTTTCAAATTGATCAATTCTGTGAATCATCTAAATCTGTTGAATCCCCCTCAATCCCCCAATTTGATGACACAATATTAAGTTTTCAGCTGAAAATTTATTTTCCTGTTGCCATCCCAGAAATAGTGTGATATAAGTGTAAACAGTGTGATATAAGTGTAAACAGTGTGATATAAGTGTAAACAGTGTGATATAAGTGTGATATAAGTGTAAACAGTGTGATATAAGTGTAAACATTTGCTCATAAGATCAATCACTGGTTTGTCTGGACTGCATTATTTACAGGATGCTGTTATACATTTAGAATATTGCCATGTTAACTGATGTCGGTGAGTTATAGAGTTAGAATGGTCCTCCCTTGCCGCGGTTACAGTGAACACATGTGGCCTTTAACAAATAAGGAGAAAAGTAATTTCATTCTAAGTGTAATTACTTCAGTCCTGGACACTCCAAGATTCGGGTTAGAATTCATCTTCAGCAACCCATGCATGCCGTAAGAGGCGAGTAAGAGAACAGGCACTCAGGCTCCCTGACTTGGTTGACACATGCCATCGTACCCCTACTGCATAGATCGATGCTCATGATGTCAGTCATCCTGACTCAGACTGCAGTCATATAGCCTGTAAAATGCTATGTATAGCGTATAACAACAAAGAAATGAAAACAAACAAAACATCAGACTTGGGAGAGGCTTACTCGTGGCATGCTTCTCTTGGTGCATTAACAATGATAGAACAGAATTAAGAATCTCATATTATCACTGACGCCACCATCACCAAATGGTGGTAAATTTCACTCTGTGTATTTTCCTATTCAGTCTGTTATCATGGTTATAATAATAATAATAATAACAACAACTAGGATTGCCTCCTGGGCAATACTGACGGTCTTCAGACTTCCCTATACACTCCCCGTGGCTGCCTTTACTTGTACTGTTTCTTTGGATGCCAGCTGCAGCGTCCATTTTAACTATCGGAGTTACGGGTGTTTGAAGTGTATTTTAAGGGCTAGAAACCATCCAAAGCGCATTTTGACACGAGCAGATCGGTGAAATGCACCCAGGGTCGCTGGAGGTCATGTACCTTTGAAGTAGTTCCCACAGAAGAAATGGTTGTCCTTGGGTGCGGCGGTCAAAAGCGATTAGTGTTCTGGAATCAGCATGATCCTAGCTATCTGACGCATAGACTTATGGACTTTCGATCTGAAGACCTAATAATAATATGTGTATTTTTATAGCGCATCTATTCACACAGTAGTATGGTCCGGCTGCTCAGACAAGGTGACAGAGGGTTAAACAAGACTCATGACAATAATCTTTTCAACGTTACATTTTTTTTCTACAATACATCAGTTCCAAGTGTAAACAGTACCTTTAAATAGTATGGAATATTTTGCAAAATAGTTTGCAAACAGTTGACTGAAGTAAGTGGCTACATTTACACTAGTGATGGGTAGTATATTTCAATGATCAAAAGGACCATCAAGAGAAAACTACTTTGTATACTGACTTTAACACAAAGAATCTGAACTATTGTGCAATGAAAACAATAAACATTACCCTATTAGCGACATATACAAATGTATGTTTAACATACAAAATCTTCACAAAATCTCAAGACAAAAGTAAGGCAAAGAAAAACCTGGACAATCAAATACACACTTGGAACTCCCAAATTGCAAATGTTATCAAAAGCTTATTTAATACATCACTGTTGAACAGCCATTTCTTGTTAATGAAACACACACATCAAAGTTTTGAGTTTATGCAAAATGTTACAAACTTGGGGTATGAAACAAATTAGAAATAACCCGAAACAGCATTTAATCAAAACACTTGTAAATAGTTAAAATCATAAGTGTAAAAATGTCTAAGGCTAAAACGTACTGACTACTCGAAGAATACTATCAATGTAATGTGAACGAAGACTTGTAAGCACATATTCAAAACAAAGATTATTCATGAAACTATTTACCAAACATCTACCAACCTTTTCCCCCCCAAAATAATTTGAGCATTATATAATTAAGAAGGAAAATGTGTATCCACTTATCAGAACTAGAAGATAATATTTTTTATGCATAATCCAATAAAATAAAATAAAAATAAAATATAAAATAAAATGTTATCCACAGAAATTGGTCCAAGCTGGCACTACATGGTAATGAAAGGTGAACCTGGTTAGGATAAACTAAATATTTTACCAGAAATGTCTGTCTTTGATGGCCACAAGTTGAACAGACGGATATAAGTTGTACCCAAATATTTTCAGCCCACTAGCCCAAACTTTGTTCTTAGTATCATTTTCAGAAGGTTTTACAAGTATCATTTGGCATTTAATTTCTGATCTTAGACCATACAGAATTCTTGACTCAGGCTTCAAACTAGTGACTACAATTGCAGTTTCAGACAGCATGTCCAGGCTATTCCATATAATCTACAAACAACTAATATCAAATTATCAATGTAAACACACATGTAAATATATGACCACACATAATAACAGTCCTTTTTATAATAATATCACAGGTTAAACGTGATTAAGTATGGGAAAATAGCTCGGAATGACATTACATTTTTAATATCTGGTGGAACTAACATCCCTAAATCCGGATAAAATGTTTATTCTAATTATCAAAATGACATGAAGAACAAAACCATTATATTTTTCCGGTCATCAGGATGAGTTTCACTGAAAGTGTTAACTTCAAAGTTACAGGGGTTGAAATAACTTTAAAATTGCTAGTGTACTCTGGTACAGTGGCACATGTAAAATCACTTGCCATGATAATTTTTCCACTATACCGGCCGTTTTATTGTTGACTTTTTAAATAAACAACATAATTAATATTGGAAAGTCAACTGGACACTGGTACAGTGTGATATACAAATTTGCTTGCCCAACAGAAAAAAACACTGGACTCGGGCATCGGGCAATGGGTTATTTTCACCACTGAGTTATAATTTTGGCAATTTGTTATAAGTCGCTTTTACCAAAATCCCAGCCTTATCGTGGGGGAATGCCAGGTTGGCGATAAAGAAACCAAACAAAACATGCACAATGTACTGGGTAGGTACTGACATACTGAATATGAACATTATTAGATATATACATATATGGTTAACATATAAAACTGCATATAATTGTCTCAAGACAAATGCAAAATATACTCACAGGAAAAACAAAGTACACACTTGAAATTGACTTTGAAATTGGGTTTGACTTCCAAATCATAAATATTATCCAAAAACTATTGCTTGGTTGAAAATAGTTGCCGAAACAATGCAAACTTAAAATTAAAAATATTTTGGGATTTATAATCAAATATATCACTATCAATGGTTCATTTCATTTTGGTTTTGACAAACAAGGGTGTGTACTTTATTTGGCAAGCACATATCACAAAATGTTTCCATTTGAGCATGGTGGGTCTTGGTGGTTCGAATGAGAAAGGCACAGTCAAAATTCCCTGGCCATCATGATTAGAGATAGTTGACATACTTATTCATTTAGTACTGAATACATACAATAAAAATCACAGTGAACAGTACAATGCAAGACTAGCTCGCAAACCAAGAAATGTCACTTTCTATAAATGTGCAGATCAATTTAATCACGTACATATACATTACCGGTATTCTAAAAGTTTGCTGACAAGCTCATATGGCTAATAGGGTAAAAAAAGATGTAAATTTCTATATATGACTATATACATGTTTTACACACTTAACTGATTTTTTCTGAAACCTGAATTAAAATGACATAATCAGTGGACACTATAGACTCTCAATGGTTTTCATTCAAACAACAAAAATTTCATATTAGGAAAAATATAAGAATATACAGTACTGACAATATTGAGCAGAATGCAAATCTTCATCAATATACTGCAACATCATCTAAATGGGTTGGTATTTTACACAAAATATATGAATCGTATTCCTTGGGCTTTTATAAATTATAGAATTAACAAAGCATCATACAGCTAGGTCTCACACAAACGATATTTCTGGTATGGACTGTTTTTGTCATTTTGTGTAACTACCATTGATGACATGTTGCAGTGGTTAAAATCTGAGCCTCCAGACTATAAGGGAAGTAGTAACTGAAAAAAACAACATTGCAAATGAATGGCACTATTTAGGTCTTTACAAATATAAGTTGCTTAAATATTGGCAGAAAACATACTTCTCTGTCAATGGCAACATATTCCTCAATATTATTACAAAGCTGACCTAAGTATTGCAATATATTGCAATACCAAATGCTAGTAATTTTACATCCCTAACTGCAACTCATTTGCATCAAACTGCAATAACAAGTGTTATCAAATATTAAACCTGATACACTTAAAATTGACATGGATACACAGCATTTGAACTGAAAGTCATGAGATGCAAAAGAGCATGACTATTTCAATCATTACAATTCAACCGTCCCCATTGTAGCATACTCTACATCATTTGTAACTACTCGTGCCATTCCGGCAAGCTGGATGGCGTCTCGTACCCCTCTCGTACCATGTTTATGACTGGGCCCTGTCTAAGCGCAAACGGGTATGGGGATGAAAAGTCTAGTATTCCTACAAAGGAAATATAACTGAAATTACAAGTATGGTTCATATAATATCCTATATCTCATGGGCAAAGAGCAATACAGTCATTCCCTTTGTAAATATATTTCAGTGTTTAAAGTTTCTGATCCTTTAGCTCAAAGTTTCTGTTTAAATTGTGCTTTGCATAGTTTAGTGAAGTTTCAAAGTTCAACAGTGCCGCCATTTTCATGTTTCGAAATGCATTCTACTACGCTTGATTTGATTGGTTTGCCATGATTTTTGGCAATAATGGCATACGATAGGGCTACGAGTCTTCTTGTAGGGCACGGAAAGAGGTGAGTAGTTACAAATGACTCTACATGTGATATTTACTTCACTCAATCACAAAATTTAGAAGTCTCACCATCCATAAGCTCCCCAAAACATGTACCCCCAGTGCTCTTACAGACATTTTATCAATATACATCTGGGCCTAAAGCTTGAAGATGGAGACATGTGATTTAAATTACATTACACTATCTCATAAAGAGATGATAATACTGTAGTTTGAAAACTTTTGTAATTTCTTACATTTTTAAAAATTTATTTCTGTATTCAATTCATTGAATTATTTGTTTCAATTGTTTGCATAAACATAATAAAGCTCTTGTTGTTTAAGTGTTTAGTATGGGAACCACATGGTCACCAGGACCTAAAAGCTACTCACAAGCACGAAGGCCCAAGCAATCCCAGTGCTTAGACCTTAGTTTCAAAGGCCAGATTTAGTTGTTTCAAGCTTTAAAAACCAACATTATGATTAGCATCACTGTCAACATAGTGACAGATAAGGAGCTCGCAGAAGAGGTAGGGAAACCAGCAGAAGATGGGACATTACCAAACTTTGTGGACATATGGTCTTCTGTCATTTGTGACTGCTGCTCCTGAACAATCAACAGAGATGTGAGGGGAGTTACAAACTTGTAAGCCAGTGACATGTTGAGGGCTCGACCTTCCAGTATCTCACATTCCTCATCAGAGGTTGCTATTGCCTTCTTCTGCAACAAGTCCTTGATGGTCAGATACGCCCACAGCTTCTCGGTAAACTCTCCAGATGGTCCAGACAGCTGTTTCTTTGATGAATCAGGAACTACAAGCTGAACCTTGTTATCATTTGCAGTGGAGCCCTCCACAGTGGCATCTATGACATCACCCAGCCTCTTGCCCACGACCACCACTTCTGTTCCAGAGAAGAACTGATTGAATGTTGTTTTGGTCAGCTGCGACATGTCAACTTGGTTGCTGTTGTACTGAAACTGCACTTGGAGGAGCAGAGGGATGTTCACTTCTCTAAAGAAATCGGTCAGCTGCTCTGCTGCATCATCCTCTTCATAAATACGCCTGGCAAAGCCTCCATTCTCTAAAGATATCTGCTCCAGAAACTTGAAATCTACACCTTGACCAAATCCCAATGAGAATATGGCAACTCTGCCTTCATTCAGACCTTTGACATTTTTACGAATTTTCAGAACATCAGTTACTCCAGATGAAGGCTGCCCGTCTGTCAGGAATACAATGATGTCAGCTTTATTGATCTTGTTCTTGAAAAGGATCCCAAGAGCATCAAGAAGACCAGAATTGATATTTGTGCCTCCATCAGCATTCACTTTCTGATCAACATAGCTTTGAGCAGTCTGGATATTGTTTAAGGTGGCTTGTTGAGGGCCTGACTGCCACACAACTACTTCACTATTAAACAGTATTATGTTGAAGAAGTCAACACTACTCAGCTGCTGGAGAATCTGTTTCATTGCATCTCTTGTCTGTTCAATCTTCCTTCCTTCCATTGACCCACTGATATCAATCACAAATATGACGCTCTTCGGGATGGGTGGCAATTCATCAGATTTGTCAACAGCGAAATAATGAACAAAATAATCATTACTGAGGGCCGAGATTATGCTGCCTCCATCAACTCCATGTTGTAGATCATAGGACACAACAAATTCACCATCAATGCCTCGGTCAGCGTTGACCTGTGTCTGTCGAGACACAGAAGGGTTGTATATGATTTGACGCTTTGAGACTGATGCCATGAGTGTCGCATGTT